GTTTATACAAAATTTATAGTGGGAATTGAGTAATTATAAAAGTTTGTTCTAGATTACAACAAAACCATTACTTTCGTTAAGCAATTCTGCAAAATTGTGGATACATTTAGGGCCGTATTCACAGTGTTCAGTTAACAAAGAGATTAAACTAGCATGCCCTTATAGTTAAACTCTTTTTGAATTTAAAATTTTTTGGGGCAACGAAATTTAGTTTTCGAAATTTTATAATTTCAGGCGATATAAACTTTCATAGTTAACTACACGGCTGTGTACGGATATGAATGCATAGTTCATCTTTTGTTGTTGGTTAAGTTAACAATAGTTTAATTACGTACTGTGAATTCGGCCATTCTGGTGTAAAAGTAATTTTGAACTATCACCCGGAAATAAACAATGCAAAGATATACTTTGTGGAAAAGACTGATTTTGTACATATATACGTGCATATGTATATAGATGATTTACTCACTAACGTTATCATTGAAAAATCATTTGATACATTCATACTGAGCCCGGTGAATGCGGCTAGGAAGCCAATCAACAAAAAATTGACGTTTTGATTACATATCACGCCAAAGGAAGCAATATATCAAGTGATTTAAATACAAATACGTTGATATATACATATGTATGTGTATGTACATTATGGTGGTCCACTGGTCCTGCTGTCACTCCCCCAGGATTATAGAAAATAGGAAAAAGAAACCCGCATCTTTTATTTTGAAGTTTTTCATATATCTCACATGGATAAAATACATGTTTTCGTAGAGTTGTTATTAGACCGTTAAAAATAGACATTTTTTTAATTGAATTATAACATTTCCCTTCAGAAATCTTGAAAAATAAAACTGTGAATCTTATTTAACTTCAAAACTTTACTAACTATTTTTTCATAACCAATAATTTTTTACGAACAACTCAAAATATTTTGAAATGGGTTGCCACCTTTCAAAAAAATATTAAAAATATTTATTAAAAAATGTAAGCTTATTTAATACAACAAATCGGATATGAAACAAAAGGCGTATGCACACACCAACTTTGAACTAACATGTTTTTAAGTGGGGAGTAACCCCATTTATAATTAACTTTTCTTTTATTTTAGATAAGGAACAACCCAATCCAAGAGTAGCTGTGAACTAAAGTATTTTCAGAAACCTGTCATTAGGCACATCAATATTGAATCAGTTTATTTAACTTATATAGTTACCCCATCTTAGCTTATAAATGGGTGGCAACCCTGCTTTAAAACATGTTAGTCGAAAGCTAGGTTTAACGCCCATTTGGTAATATTAAATAAGCTTACATTTTTTAATACCCATTGTTGTATTGTTTTTTTTTTTTTGAAAAGTGGCAACCCTATTCTGAAATATTTTTTTAGCTACTTCAAACGGTTTCAGTTTTATTACAGATATATAAAAATCATTGAGTCTTTTCAATATTTGAAATTTTTTTTTTGCAACAAACCTGCGGAAAACATCGGCCAGAATGAAGAAAATAAACAAAGTCGGTGAGCTGTTCGTGTATGATGTGGTTACAAACACACAATTTAACAAAATTTTGTGTATAAAAGACAATATTTTCGGTTATGAAAAATAGTAGTAAAATTTTAAAGTAAACCTCGTAAACTTACTAAATTTTGTGCAGAAAACCGGTTTATTTACGAGGTTTACGTAGTTACGAGGCATTTACGCGTTTAAATGAATACCCATATAATTTTATTTTCTTAAGGTTTCTAAAGGAAAATTTTATTATTCGGTCAAAAAATACTCTTCAAAGAAATTTATTTTTCCCATATAAAATTTATCCATGGGAAACTTTAAAGCCCCGGCGGCACAACCGATTTGAAAACAAAAAAACAAAAACGGGTCTCCTTATTTTTGAATTTTGGACCAGCCTAATGTTCATTCAAGATGAACTATGTACCCTTTTTGAATGTTCCGCCACCAGCGTCATTTAATAGAAACAAAAAACTCCAACAACTCGAACTTTGCCTGCTCTTATTACTCATGAATCGTATTTTCTTTGTGATGATAAGCAGTAGGCGGCACTCAACAAAGAATATAAGCGGGCACAACCGTACGCATGCAGTTACAGAATGTACATATGTATCTTTGTGCATATTGCGGGAATATTTACTTGATTTTTTTTTTACTTACATACTCGTATGAGTATTATGGCTAGACGTGTATGTACGTAAACATAATCGCCTAAGCGATAATGGCGATATTCGGAAACCAAAACAGTGTCAAACTGTATGTCTAAAAGTTTTGCAAATTTAAAAAAAAAAAAAATTTTTTAATTCTTACAAAGGTTGAAACTTCGAGTTATATGGTTTTTGTTGTAGTGTGAAATATATCGAAAATAAGCCTCAACCGAAAAAGCGTCTTGGTTCGTCTCAGATGCTTATCGTAGTGCGCAGCGACATTAAGGTTTCTCTCAGAGAGATATACATACATACAACTGCACGCATTGTTTTGATCGGCAACTGAGATTTATATTTGATTTCAATAAATAAATCATCACTGATACTAAACCAGGATACTTATTGGTTATGGTTCATCGTTCTAGTTTTGAACTAAAGTTGAAGTTAACAACTCAAAAGAATTCAGAACTTTTTTCAGTTGCTGTTCCAGAGAGAGAAACGCAACAACAACCACCCGGAAAGCGGTTGATATTTATTTGGGTAGTGGGTAATCTTTATCTGGTTTCCGAGTACGCGTGCAAGGAGCTAGATATCTTTATCCGGGTAGTCGGATAGAGAGTAATATTTATGCGAATACCTGTGTAGTGGTTTATATTTGTCCGGGTATCCGGATAGAGGCTACTATTTATCCGGGCTCCTGGGTAGCGATTATCTTTATCCGGGTACCGGGTTATTTTTTATTTATAGTTAAGTAGTACATGTTTTTAGGCTTCATTTTCTGCATAAACTTCCGCAGTCTAATAATAATAGGTTAAGGTTAAAGTAGAACGTAAGTTGTGCTTACGTAAATGTATATATGAACAAATCTTAGTAGTTGTTACTTTTTCGACTAAAACGTGCTTTTCCATACATACTAAAAAAAAGTAAAAATAACCAACCACTCGTGTTCATATAACAGTAGTTGCGTATGTTACGTATACGCCCCGCAGTAACATAAAAAGAGTCATCAAACGCGTTTACTCGCACGCCTTAACTAAAAAGTCATCTTATTTAAAAGTGATTAAATATTGGTGTGGTAGATTTTTACACAGTATATTACTTTCTTCATGTGTATAATAATTTTAGAAAAATGGAGTTTTATTTTCTCAAACCATAGTCATCTTTTATTCAATGTTTTTTTTTCATTAGTTTTATTTCGCTAGATTCGTTCATTTTGGCAAGAAGAACATTTTTATCGTTTAGTTGTAACATTTTGGAGTATCTAAAATTAATAAAATTAAAAAAAAAAAAAATCGTCAAATTTCAAAAATTACCAAATAGCTGCGACAGATATTCTGCATACTGCCAACCTCCATTGCTTTTAGTATAAACATTATATTCTGATTTTTTCGAGTGACAATGAAAAAATTAGGAATTTCGCTACATTTTCGCCTAAACAACCGTTTTAAGGCTGAAATTGTTGAAATATTTGATTTTTTTTATTGGACTTTTTTCTGAAACTCCATTGATTGAAATATATGCAAGAAGAATGCTTTAGCGTTTTTTTTTCTGGCGGAAAAAAGAAGTGACACTAAAAAACAACTCGAGAGATTTGATGATATGCACGCGAAGGAGATTTATTTTTAACCGACTTCCAAAAAAGGAGGAGGTTATCAGTTCGTCGGAATATTTTTTTTTTGTTTCTGTTTTATGTATGTAACCGCATAACTTTGAACCACGTCAACCGATTTCGAGAATTTTTTCATCGGAAAGGTAGTTTCTCAGCGGTGGGCCCATACTAATCTGGTTTAGATCCGATCATTGGATCATGAAATATATATACTATATTTTTTTATATGAGAATTGAAGTCGGTTTTGTTTTTAGCTTAAAAATTACTTGTTATTTCTCATTAATATTCATCATGTGCTGAAGAGAATTTTGATTTCGCAGCGGTAAACCATTAAAACATTGTTAAAAGGATTGCGGTTAGTCTCCAACTGCTGCTTTATTTCTACTTGGATAATTGTTATCATGCGAGCATTTGAATTGGTTAATAGTTATCTTCGAGGTCTGATTTTTATGAAAACTAAAGTTAAACAAAACAAAACATTTTCAAAAAAAAAAAATGGAAAGCAAAATTGCAGTGAGATTTTTATCGACACTCACTGTACGGTATCCAAAACAAAGCCAATCGGCAAAATAAGCAATAAAGCAGCCTTCCAACAAATATTCCGTTTGATCTTTGGAAGCATAGGCCCTTCCGTGCTCGATTCCTTGTCCCTTTTTTGCATGGAGTTGCCAGGTCTGCTGATTCAGCTTCGATTAGAGAGCGAAAATTTACATGAAATAATAATGAAAGAAATTTAACATTGCTCCAGAAATGCACTAATACACCTACTGCATTTAGTTCATTTTCCAGTCGTTTACCTTGAGGCAGGTCTAGTGGTAGATCTCCTAACACAGCTGCCGAGGGGAGAGGGTCTTATTGAATAACGCAATCTACTTAAATGCGTTTATTTATGTAAAAGCAATCTTCAAATTGCTGACTGGGGACAAAGCAATTTTGTTATTCTATATATATATAAACATATATATCTGCACTTACATACATACATATGCATAAGTATATGAATATACAAGTGCTCACAATTAGCTCAAATATGCAGACTCAAATCCGGCACGCTGTCTGAAATTTAGACGCCAAAACGCTTACACACACTTACATATGTATGTTTTTTTTTGCTTTTGATTAATAGATACGAGTGGACATTAATTACTTTCATCATTCATTAATAATATATATATAATATAAATAATATATTTATGTATGTGCATAATTTTAAATTCAGACCCTTTTCGTCATCAACATTTCAGGTGTCCATTACAGTGACGAGCTGGTTAATTATGTGCTTAGCATTAAATACCCCACACTCACCATTTCCAAATCGAAGAAAATTCGTACTCTTATCGATACGCCACGCAATGCGGGAATATTTCACTTTCTGCTTCAAGTTAAAGGTCAGTGTGACTTTGAACAAATAAAACGCTACTACGCAGACAATCTGACGGATGCACGTGATAAAGCTGGCTACTTGCGTTTTCCGAAATTACGCCAAAAATTGGTGACGTGTTGGGGCCACTACGCATGGGTGAATGATAATAGGTGAGTAGAATATTTTAATTTTATCCAAAAAAAAAAAAGCTTTAAGTTCTTTACTTTTTCCTAGAAAGTTAACACAGTAAATAAGCTTTATGAAACGCAAAAGCTGTGAATGCGAATTCGGCAGGGTTTCGGTTTTTCTGTTATTAGAAAAGCAGGCTTACAAATACACATAAAAGTGTATTTCCTTTGTTATTTCATTTGCCTCAGGCAATTCTCAACAGATGTATGAAAGACGTTTTTCATATAGAAGTCGCATAAAATATAATGAAATGCGTGGAAATACATAGATGCTTGGAAGCGTTCAGTAAAAGCAGAATTTTGCCATTACTCCCTTGAGGAAACTCTGAAATTGCCGTTGATGAGCAGCGATGGAAAGATGTAGTCATCTTTTTCGCGGATTCTTGGATCGTTGACTCATACTTCCACACGAAGGCATATTTTCCCATTAAAAATGCCCTCTATGAGTGCCATGAGGAAGTTATTCCATATTAAAAGTAAAGTGTTTGTTAAACCATTTACTATCCCGGATAAACCAGTGACACTCCAATAATTTCGTTCCGGTATTTCCTCAAAACTATTGAAAAAGCGTGTTTTCAAATGTTTGGGATGCCTTTTCTTGAGAGCAATCGGTCGAGTATTGGTGCTATAGCACAGTGCGACTCTTCGTGATTCTCGCTCATAAGAATTTTGATATCTCAGAGTCATCACGATTGACACGTAGGTCATTAGTTGCAGCTTTGGTATATCCTTCAACTCTCCTTAGTAGATCAAAAATCGGTGGTAGTAGGGAGTCGCTTATCTCGTCGGCTTTATCTTTCCCTTCCAGGAACCCAGCAGAGATAGGTTTGGACGTGACTCAGGGAAGCCAGCGATACACGACATTTTCGACTTTACTACTTTGGAACCTAACGTTTTTAAAGCTATATGGCTGTCAATAAATACAATGACGTTTCCTAACGGAGACCTACTATTTCGTATGAGAAAAGCCGCCTTCTCTATGGCAAAGATATCCACCTGAAGGACACTGCAGTTAGCCAACGGTGTAAATGGAAATATCGTCATTTACCGATAGTAGGCCGGACAGTTCCAATCTTCCCTTGTTGGAAAATACGTAGACGCCATATTCTACATACATATGCGCCATATTAAAAGACCCCTCGGGGGTCCGCCACTGACTGGCATGTAGTTTAACCCCCAAAACCCCCCGCTGGATCCGCCACTGATCTGCACGCTTAAACGCATTCCTGTGACAAACAAGAAGTCTACATTTATCCCGCTATTTGAATTCCAGAGTAGTTTTAGGCGAACCAAATCAGAACCAATTGTTATGTACTTTCTCCCTCCTCTTGTCTTGCCTTATATCTACAACTTTGTTGAGAATTAGGGACATAAGCACTGAGAATTTACTTTTTTGCTGTATTTCTTCAGCTCCTTTAACATCAATAATCAGGTTTTGCTCAGCGCACGCAGCTATCGCGGACGTCCGGTGAATGACAGCAATATACAAGACTTCGTTAGCGAATTGGCAACCAAATACATACCATCGGACTTGCCACAATGGCAGGTGATTGTCATACCCACTGCAATAGCCACTGCGAGTGCGCCACCAGAGACCGCAACCGAAAACACAACACCTTTGGCACCGATGTCACAAACTATGGTATACCTACCTATGCGCTTAACGATCATTTGCGAGCAAGTGACTTATTTTTCTTATCTCGCCCTAGGATGATCACTACTACGTGCTGGTCAAGGTACATCATCTAATCATTGCCGAAGAGGAAGATCTGCACATCAGCGAAATACTGATGCTGCAAGAGAATGGACGCAAAGCTGTGATCGACATCGATCAAATGGGCAATGGAGGGAGAGCACAACCACTTTCCTGTTTTGTGCGCGAACCCGTTCACATACCCCGCCTCATCAATCACATAGGCGCCCAAATAGTGAATACCTGGAATGCTTTCATCTACGAGTACGAGTCACTGGAAACGCCAGACGGTTATAGGCCAGTACCCATCACCAATGTTACCCAACTGCTTTCAGTGCTGCTGATCGTCGTGGTGAATGTGTGCCTGGACTACAGGCGCACTATGCAGTTGCACCAGAAGCTGCGTCGCCGCTACAATGTGCAGAAGGATAATTGCGGGCGGTTGAATGTACTCACCACGTTGCTACTCAAAGAAATCGATCGACGTAATCTCTCATGGCCTGTCGCATGGATGGCCATTTGCACATCGTGGCATCCAGCGAATATAGCCAAGACATGGACCATGTTCCTGTGGCGCGTCAACATTAACAACACGGTGCTGCTGCCCTATCGCATCTACTGTGAACTGATGGCCATGAGCGATATTGTCTTCAAAGGGCAAACGTATCTTACGCATACACACATCGGACGTTTATCGATCTACCTGCCGATGATATTGTATGCACAAATAGAATTCTTTAAAATATGCTATGAAATCTTCAAAGCGCCAGTTAATATCTACGAGGAGCTCTTCGTGAGTCCCTCCAAAGAAGCTAATATTTTGCAAATGAAATCCTACTCTGGCCGCAAGATCGTCTCATTCTCCAAGTCCATTAACGCGGCCGAGCTACGGCAGCGGCACAATTTCGGCGCAGAGGTGCGCGAGTCCGACTTTGTGCTGTCGTGTTTGGCTGGCGCCTTGCGCGACTACTTCGCCATGCATAGAAATATGGCGCCAGTGCCTGAGGTGCTCAATACCACATGTCGCACCATTTCTAAGGGTTACTTCACCGAAAAGACGGGCAATAAGGCGGAACACATCGGCGGCGTCGTTTTTCTGCAACTGCCGCTCGAGGCGCCTGGATGGGAGCATGCGCGCAAAATGCATTCGATCATCGACAATATACGACGCAAGCAGATTATGATCTATCTGGCGTCGATGGGTCAGACGCGATTTGATCTGCTGACCGCCTTGGTGCCGCGTGTGCTAACAAAGGTCTGTTTGAATTTCTTTTCTCACAACTTTCCCGTTACCCTAACGGAAATACATGGCTCATCGCCGGACTTTCAAACGCTCTGGGGTCATGTCGTGGAGGATGTGCTACTCTTCAGACCACCGCAATCGAAAACATGTAGGGCTATTGAGTATTTTATTTAAAGAAGTAACGAAGTTTGGGTAAAAATCTGTTTCCTCTTCTTTTTTTAGGTTTATCGCTGAATATTCACCGTTTCGGGGACCGATATCGTTTAGCTATAATGGCCGACACGCAGTTGGGACCGGATCATGCTCTGATATCACGCGCATTCGAGAACTACATAGAAACTGTAGCGCTTTAAAAGAATTCTTACTTATTTATTAATTTCTGTGATTAAGTCGTTTTGTAATAAATCTGGGTTGACAATATTCCGAGTAGGAAGTAAAGTTGTTTTCGGGTATTTTTCGGGTTGTAGACGGCCGGTATTGGTATACCATCGACGTGTAGATTGAACTGCGGTTTCATCTAATTCGTTCAAGTAGTGAAAAGCTTTGTTTGTATTGGAGAAGGTAAGTCGCCTTTCAAAGGCAGTTTATCAATGCGATAGCCAGAGCAGTAAACGACGAAGTTCATTTAAAAATGTAGGAGAAGTGTTTTCTCGAACGTCAATACGTCCTGTGTTGCCTTCCGCAGCTACAGACGTTTGAAATAATGAGAGTGGCCAGTGACAGGACACTATAATGGTGGGTTGAGTGGACGAGCAAAGAGGTGGTTGGTGTCGTGGGCAGAATCTCCACATGCTCACACCTACTCTCTCACGGTTTTCACCCTCCAAGGAGCGCTGCAATATCAGTGTGATGTACCACTGGACAGCAGGTTAGACGATAGCGCTCAGTTTGGTTCCCACGACAACCGGAGCTACGTAACCGGAGCGACCTAGATTTATATCTGGCCGCCCCAGCATAACTCCCCAAAAACTCGGCGGAATTGTGTAAGCGTTCACAACAACATTTCGCGCAGTGTGGTGTGAGATGAACGCTAGACTTCCGCTGGTGATCGTCATAGAGCACATTTTAGTCCACGAAGTTCAGAAACTTCGTTCCTAGGATCGGAGCAAACAATATACCAAGTTGATCCATAAATACTGTTAGTTCCTCGATCTTACTGTGGAGTTCATGGCACTGAAACTGTAAGATTTTAAATGGAGCCAAGACCTCCTTGGGAGCTTGCCTTCAGCGGCTTATTAAGCGAGATAGAGGCAGACGGTGAGCACCCGAAATGTTGTTGCCACAACGACCCCGCCCAGATCGGTTACTCCCTCAATCGGTATGTTCAAGCTCAACTAATGGGAGACCCAAAAGCGTGCAGCTTCTATAAGGTCTGTACATACGGACAGTGGCGTTAGTTGACTAGGGTTTAGTGGGCATTCGAATAGATATCTCGAGTCGTGGGATGTCTCTCCGCATTCCTGGCACTCGTCTGGCACATCTACATTTACTCCGCTCAGGTGCGAGTCCATGTCTGGTGGTTGCGTGCCCAAAACGGCATTCACAGGTCGAGCGTCTACATAACTCGAGACTGACTCCCAGTGAATGTCGGACTAGAGGTTGCTTTATGAACCTCCGGGCCTCGTCCGCCAGTTCGTACAGATGCCTTCTGATGTGCCGTACAACAACGTGCCGATACAACAACAACTTAACCGAAAAAAGAGTTCGGATGGAATCGTCTCTTTCATACGTAGTAAAAGTATAATATGCACATACATACGACTCTGGACCGGGAATGAACTCAGTGTCAGCCGAACAAGAGCAACAGCTCTTATTGGGATAAAATCGGCTGTCGGGGAAATGAGTATTCGAATGCCTAGGTAGGTGGTAAAAAACAAAAACTAACCGTCCTCTGTTACTTTTAACTGTCCTAACTTCGAAGCTATGTTCATTGTGTACAAATTCTTCCACAATGGCTATGTTCAACCGAAAAAAAAAATATGTTTATTTAGAATAGGTACATCCAATATCAAACAATTGTTACGAATTGTTACTAGTACTTGCAAATTTTTACTGGAAATGCATTCTATAACCCACAATATTTGCAAGAGAGAGCGAATTCGAGAGCGTAACAACCCGAGAGAGCTGCAAATTCTTGCAAGTAAAAATTTTACTAGCAGGAATTTGCACGAGTCAAATAGTAAGGTCAAGAATGATAGAATACAAGATTGCGCCGATCAGAGAGGATTTTTGAGAATAACTTTTGTGTGACGTCACACTGGTGCAATTGCGAGAGAGAAATGCCAAAACGTGAGCAAGAATGGAAGAAGAAGAAAAAATGTTGCAAGGAAAACGTAAACAAGTTGCACCAGTGTGACGTCATGCAAACAACGATTCTGTCAAATTCGTTAAGAGAGGAATAGCGGTCCGAGATCGGCGCAACCTTTGTATTCTCTCAATCGTGTAGTAAGGTTATGTTTCAAATTCAAATGTAAACAAACTGTTCAAGAGGATAATTTGATGGAAACATAAGGTGTGTACTCGTATTGAGAGGACAAAATTCTCCAGCAGCAAGAGTTCTGAGAATTTAGCAGCATTCGCTCTCAAAGAGACGAAATATCAACAAAAGTACGAGAACGCAAAATTTGCAAAAACTTGCAACCTTCGAAACAGCTGATCACTTGCACAGTTGCCACTGGTGATTAATTTGGCAATTTATTTTCTGCTTGGTGCATTTTCTTCCGATTAGGCATTTTATACATTTCAATAGTTTTGGATAAGAAAAACCTTTTTAAAATACGATTTAATTATATCGGAATGAATAAGTTATTTTTCTCATAATTATTTGTGATATCACATGGTGACGCATTAAAAACAATAGTATCTCCTCCAAACACCCAATCCAATTGATCCAATAAAATGTAATAGAGTAGGTTTAAAATTATAAAATTTTCATTTCAACAATCAACCCACCAAAACCGAAAACTTCAGCAAAACAACATTTCAGCATGCTGCAATTAAATCTATTTTGGTATATTTTAAGGTAAATTATGGTACAAACGAAAAATGTCATACGGCAACCATAGTCAGCACATACTAAAGTAAAAAAAACTGGAGATTAATAGCAAATTAACGAAAAATATACTCAATGAATGTTGTGCTTATTAAATTTACGCACTTTTTAGTTGTATACTAGCATTACAAATAAAAATTGCAATAATAACTCAAAAAGGCCATATTTTCTTTTGTTTATTTACAAACATGTGTTTGTGATCAGCTGATTTTCTTACTTGCAAGTTTTAGCTGGGAAAAATTTTTCCAGCAGAAATTTGCAGCTCTCTTTCATATTTTGCTCTCTCAATTTCCCCTACTTTGCAAGTTTTTTGGGTACGAGAACGCAAAACCAGTAAGTTTTCTAAAACTTTAGATAGTTGGGCGTACGAGTACACACCTATAATTTCCCTTCCCTAACTCGCAAGACGTTGCAAGAATTTACAGGAATTTACCAGAAAGCGTTCCCGTACTCGGTTCTCTGGCTTCTTTTGCCTTTTGACAGTTTTAAAGGTTTTAACCACGAAAAGTTGGGGAACGCAACTATAATTAGTGAAATGAAAATATGGATGAAAATTTTAAATCTATTGTATATTTTTTTTATTTTTATGACGATGGGAACTATTCCCAATAAAAAAAAATGTGCGCCAAAAATTAACCGTCAGAAAGTGTCAAAATGGCTTAAGTTGCAAGTTTTTACTAGTTTTGCGTTCAATAACTTTTTCTGACAATTTTCTCTTACTCTCAATTTTACTCTCTTTTTTTCTTTTACGCTCTCGCTGCAAGTTGGAAAAGTTATAGAATGGACCTAATGAATTTCTCTACATTTCTCCTACAGAAGGCCTATATTCGGATTATCTCATTCATACTTTGTTCGCCTGATTTGACTGCATTACCGAAAATTGATATTTTACATCAGACTCACAAGTCAAAATGGGACAGATATTTTTGAATGTTAAAAACAATTTCAAATACAAATAAGCTCTTTATACCCTTTTTTCGTCCGTTTCCAATATATTTTGTAAGGGACTTTTAAATTAATTTCAAGCAATGGACCCTACAGGCGAGGAAGACTATCGTTCACATTTGAGGACACATTTTAGGCATATAATTAAGAATCCGAAATTACAACTAAGCACCAATAGTACCGTTCCAAGTACCGTGGACCGTTCCAAATTGACAGAGTTTTGCAAACTGCAGCAGTGTACGGCGCAGCAATACAAGGATCATGTGCAGCGTACGCAAAAGTTAAATGAATACAACTACCTACAGCAGCGCAGACAAGTATCGCATTTAAGCGGTGGCGATGCAGACCGCGCACTCCATGATGCACATGTCCCTGATCTTAGTAGTCAAGCCGATAGTTACCGTGGCAGGTGCTACAATGAAAGAAACGGTTTTAATCGCCAATCTCACTTCAAGTCAAAGGCAATGGCTGCACTGCCAGTGCCCGGCGGCGCCAATCAACATAAATACCATAGTGATGACGCCAATGTGTTTTTATGTGAAACTGACTCTAATATTGGCGCCGGTGGACCTGGTTCTGAGGAAAGCAATAAATCTCTGAAGTCTTCGAAAACAGTGGTGAGTAAGAAGAGTTCGCAAGATTTACGCAAAATGGTCAAGTCACAGGTCAAGCTGCAAGAAGTGATTGATGAAACCTTGAAGCAAATGTGTTCCACTGATCCTGAGCCATTGCCTGAGAGTGTAGATTGCCGTTTAAGAGATCAAGGTGAACAAATGGGTTTACAGAAGACATCCGGCTCATGCAAACGCTGCACTGATAAGATATATTCGCGTTCAAGTCAAAAAGATGTTATGACTGAGATTCCCAAGGGCGACTTTTTGGAATGTCGCTCGGGCGACACACTCACGATTTCGGTGGATGATGTTGTCAACTCCAAAGTGATCAATCCCATGATACGTAAGCTACAGCGTATGTATCTGAATAATTTGCGTGAAGAAATGTCTCTGATGGAAGATTTGGAACGCCTGCCACATAAGGTTAACGAGGTATATAAAGCAACTATATTCAAGCAGAAAGAATGAGATGTGCAGGAGTTATCGAACAGGAACAGGAACCGAAGTATACGTGTAATATTCTTAAACATTTATTTTTTTGTAAACGTGCCGCATTTTTCCGATTAAATAATGTTTGCATCGAAATTCATCTTTCAGCCTTAAACTATCTTACTTTATAAGAAAACTTAGCATTTGAACAAGTCAACCGCTTCTATAGATATCCTTGCAGTTATTTAGGAATTCCACCATCATATTGTAGGCGTCTTCATCGAGGCCGGGCTCATCTTCAGCAAATAAAATGGCCTACAGATTGTAAAATAAGTTTAGTATTTGAAGAGCAAAGTATTTAAAGCGTTGTAACTTTACCTCTTT